CCAAGGGTCTTTTCCAACTTGAATTGTTCTAAGATTCTATGAACTGGTTGGATGGTCACCTCCAGAGGATTTGTGGTCAATGTTTTGGTATCCAAATGGAGATGGGTGACAAGCAGTGTTCCTCAAGGGTCTGTGCTGGGACCAGTGCTCTTCAGTATCTTCATCAGTGACATAGACACTGGGATCAAGTGCACCCTCAGCAAAGTTGCAGCTGACACTAAGCTGAACAGTGCAGTTGATATGCTAGAGGGATGGTATGTCCTCCAGAGTGCCCTGGACAAGCTGGGTAAGTGAGTGTGTTGTGCATTGCTTGAGATTCAGCAAGGCCAAGTGTAAGGTTCTGCACCTGAGTTGAAACAATCCTCATTATCGGTACAGGCTGGGGATGAGGTGCTATAGAGCAGCCCTGCAGTAATTTTCTAGGCAGAAAATTAACTTTGTCTTATATTTTTGTCCCTGCAGGAAGCTGCACAAGCCTTAATTTATGCCGGGATGGCAGGGTCCAACTTGGAAAATATTCAAGAGAAAATAAACGAGTACTTGGAGAGAGTTCAAGCTCTCCATTCAGCAGGTGGGTAAGGCACGTTCTAATTAAACCTCTGCTAAATTAATTGAGCGGAAAGCCTTTGGTACTGTGAAATATGTAGTTGATGATGTTTGCTCTGGTTTTCATAATTCTAATTTTCTTGCCCTTTATGAAGAACCATAGACACAATGAGCACATGAGTGCTTTGAATTCTGATACATCAGAAGTGAAGTGGTGTATTACTTAAGGACTTGGGTGTGGGCATTCTTTCCTTTTAAATATCCTGCAGAGCAAACCTGAGAAGGTAATTAAATATAGCAACAAAAATTGATCAGTAACAAATGAAAGCTCATCTAAGCCTCAGCTGCATGATTTGAGGGAAGTGAGTTCCGCTGTTAACTTTGAGCAGTCTCTCATAAGGGCTTCCTTGTTTGATCCAGTTGCAATGTTTATGCTTAAAACAAAATGCCGATTTTCTTTACACACCTGCAATTCTCAGTTACAATTGTAGAATCACCTGGCCAAAGGGGAACCTTGGGAGGTTTACAGACCAGTCTCCGGCTCAAAGCAGGGTAGATGTTGTTTTTTGGACCAGGGTGCTGAAGTCTAGTCAAGTCCTGAAAAGGCCTAAGGAGGGAAATTCCCTGGTGCCTCTGGGCCTCTGTTCCAGGGTACAGCCATCTTTCTACTGATTATATTTTTTTTTTTATATATCTGGTTGAATTTGCCCCTGTTTCAGATCATAGCCACTGGCTCTCATTCCCTTTCTTTGTGCTGCAGTGAAGAGCTATTTTCTTGATAACCTGGCAGTTATCAGCAGGTTCCCCCAAAGCCATCCCTCCTCTCAGCTGGACAAGCTGATCTCCTTCAGCTGCCTCTCAAAAGGACAACCTTTATTACACTGAGGAACTTCTGTGTTACTGTAGGTTATGTGTTTTCACAAATTATGAAATACTTTATGTGATTAGACATCCTTAATGTAGTGTGAAAGATTGTATTCACATTATCCAACATGTGAAATGTTCTGAGAGGGTATCTGCTTTGGGGCGGGGGGTGTGTTTTCTTGTCCTTGCAGAGTTTAGAAAGATTCATTTTCCAGCTAAGAAATAGATGTTACCTATCTGATGAGAACTGCTAGTGTTTCAGTACCCTGTTAAGGATGTTTTTATGTTTCTGCTGCTGTGGAAACCTAAATACTTTCTTTTTACTTTAGTTCAGTCACAGAACACAGACCCGCTGAAGTCAAAGCAACAGCTGGACCTAGAGCGTGCTCACTTCCTGGTTACCCAAGCTTTTGATGAAGATGATAAAGGCAATGCAGAAGAAGCTATAGAGCTGTACACAGAAGCAGTGGAACTCTGTTTGAAAACAGTATGTTAAGCTACAGGTTAACTTGGTGGAATTACGTGATGGTAAGAAATTCTTCCACTTACACAGGTGACTGATCCTTAAAGGCCAGCTTAAAAATGGAGTACCTGTATTTCAAAAAACTACTTTTTAATTTTTTTTCTCCACTGTTTGGGGTTTTTTTAGTGTTTCTTCCGGTCTTTGTAATGTTGCTGGTTTACACTGTAAATTTATGGAGACTTGTGACATAAGTATTTTTACTGAACTGGATTATACTGAAAACTAGACACATTCTGGAACTTTTTCATGTTAATTTTTGCCCTGGAGCAAATGCAACACTAAAACAGAAATTAAAGCCGGCTAAAACTGAACATGATTTGCTAATGTGTCAACTATATTGCTTTCTGACTCTGTTAAAGGAAGTAAGGGAAATTTTTGTGTGTAACATTTGCTGAAAACAACCATCTACTGATGTCAAAACTAGTAAAAATACTACTTGATTACTCGTTGCTCAACATTAAAGCTGTTACGAGTTAATTCAATTCACAATGAAATTACTACGGGTTAACTGTCTGTTATGTAAATGATGGAGAATATAATTACAGGTACTGCTTTTTTTTCCGTTAAGTCCAGTTGCCGTAACTAACTCATTATAGGGAAGAGCTCACCATCATAATGTAACTCCACCAAGTCTCTCTTTCTTTTTCCCTTCTTTCTCTTTTTATAATATAAATGTATGCAGATTGTTGGGAAGGAGGCATGTTACTTTTGCTACATACTGGACTAAAATCTTTTCTCTGAATTCTGTGAACTGGTTTCATGTAGGCATAGCCACATTAATAGTTAGAACTGCTCTAGTTTTTCCACTTGAGCTGTTGGAACAAAGCATTTTCAGTCTATTACGTAAAAGTCACTGTGGCAGCATACTGTTTTTCCTTTGCTGTGCTCCTCCTATTATGTAAGAGCAGGCAAATATTACTTAAATATATTTCAGTTAGTCTGAAATTACTTCCTATTAACCACTGTTTTTATTGGATATTTCATTAGGTGCAGAAGTTTCTTTTCATCTTGACTAGCATATAATTTTGTTGAGATGATTGTAGGCTTTGTCCCTCAAGGTGATATAAAAGTACCTTCTTCCCAGAATGAAAAAAGATTGGAGAAACTCTGCTAGCTTGAAGCTTTACTTTTGTCTTTCTCCTCTGTATAATCAGGTGGAGAGATTTGTTTCTTCCTTCCCCTTGCAGTACTCGGAGCAGCCACTCCCTCCTCTTTGGCTGACTCCTAGACGGGTGTGCTGGTGTGCTATCTCCACTGCTGGCCTTCACACAGCTTTCAAAGTCTTTTTCGACCAGGAACTCCTGAGTGTAATTTATCTGCAAATGTAAATATCTGCTTATGGGGGGCGTTTCTAGTTTTGTTTCTTAGCGTCGAAGTAGCTTGCCTTTCATTTCCTCATCTGGGAGAGTCAGGCAAGGTGCAAAGCCAGAACCTGAACCGTGTTTATGGTGTCACAGGAGCAGCCACACCTTAGGCTCTGCCTCTAGCAGGTAGTTTAGCTGCAGTGACTCTGCTTCAGAAAACAACAGCGTAAACTGCAATAGCTGCCCGCCCAGCTGAGATCAGAAGTTAGCACTCTTGATACTTGTTTTGGTGCACTGTTGTAGATTATTTTATGCCTTAGATGTGCAAGAACAAGATTTTTAACTAGCAAGCAATCTTGCTTGTTTATATTTTATGAAAGGAAGCATTCAAAATTTTTTTCCTAAGTTACCCTGATTAGTTTTTACTCACTTGGGGAAAAGAATCAGAATACATCTAAGCTCAGTAGTATACTTAGCGTTTGGTTTTGTCTTCTTTCTGCCTCTAGTGTTTTAATATTCTTCAGGCAGATTTTTTTTGTGTAAGCAGTATTACCCACATTGAAGCGTTTTAAATACCCTTTTGTTCCATGAACATTCACTAGCAACAGCAAAATGATGTTTGCTTGCTTGATATGCTGCCTGTGCTGAGATTTTAAAGAAACATATTTGCTTACTTAGAAGAGAGTTGGAAAAAAGTAGCTAGTTCTTGTTTGCTGTAATCCCTAAGTGGAATCTGACAAACTAAGCCCATAAAACCTGCAGTTTTTTCAGATGTGTAGCTTCTTCTTTTATTTTACAATTAAGGCTACCGAAACATCTGAAGCAGGCCTGCAGTCCAAGCTGAAGCAGCTGGCTCGCCAAGCGCTGGACAGGTGAGTGTTGGTGGGGATGCTGTGGATGAGGTCTCGGCGCGCAGCGAGTTGGGTGTGAGTTTTCGCATGCCTGCCCATGCTGCAGGGTGTGGAGTCTATATCTGAAACTGGTTCCATGAGTATAAGTTCAATGCAACTTTTTAAATCAGCTGTATGATAGCGAATAACAAACCATGTTGGGTTAAATTTCAGTATAAGCTGATATTCAGCATTTCCCAGTCTGTGTTCAGAAAAAAATCCTGTATTTTGCATATGTGTGATTATCCAGCAGTTTAATGCAACTAATGGTGGCTCCCAAATGTACAGTCTTCAAGCAACTGAAACGCTGTGTTGTCAGAATGCTGGTAGATTTCTGCTGATACTGTAGCTGATAGATATGTTAAATCTTTAAATCCTGAGGGTGTGAGAGGATATAGATCAGTCTTCTCTCCATTTCAGATTATGAGTACTTATACTAATTCTCCTACTAGCATAGTTTAAAGGTGATAAAAATCTAGAGAGCCAAAAGTAGCTTATATATTAATTAGAAAAGCAATACTTTGATTCTAAAACAGGAAAACAAAGAATTACTGGCAACAGAAATTGATTGCTCCTAGGAAAAGTGATGTTGTTCAACTTGGGTATTTGTTCATTCCCTTCAACATATGGGAAAGGGAACCAAGCAAATAAGTAGTTGAACCATAACTGCATTATCATTGTTGTAAATAAAATACATTTTTATTTGCTTTAGAGCGGAGGCACTGAAGGAATCTATGTCAAAGTCATCTCAGAAAGAGAAGTCTACTGCAGCTAGACAAAATCAGCCAGTCAGAACGTTCTTCCCATTGGGACCTGATTTTTCTTTAAATGATAAACCACAGACCATCAGAGCGGTACAGGCTAGTGAGTCTCAAGGTCAGAGGTACACAGCAGAGGAAATTGAAGTTCTCAGGTAAGCTGAAGACAAGCTTTTCCAAAACGTTATAGTTTGTGTCCACATCCTTCATGCATCTTAGACAGTAGATTGAAACAGCTGAAGCTGAGGTGTATAAGCAGAGACTGGAAAAATACCTCTTAGAAATCCACCTCTCGGTGGTGCTACACCTCAGTAAATTTTTGTATTCTCTATGGTAGCATTTAGTCATTTTCACTTCAGAGGACTAAGTCTGGGCTGAGAATATGGTTGTGAAGATAGAAATGTGCATGTGTTGGAGAAGTTGCAGAGCATCAAGAATTGCCTTATTAAAGCTTAACCTTTTTTCCTCTTTTGTGCAGTGAAGGTTTCTAGTTTTGTGGATGTCTTGAGTAGTTTTTTGGGGTTTTTTTTGTGTTGGTTTGGAAGGTTGGTTGATCTTTTCTTAAGATTCACAAGAGAACCTCAAGCTGTTTCATGTCTTTAGTCATTGTGAGTGTTGGACTAAATGACCTTTAAAGATCCTTCCAACTCAATGCATTCTGTGATTTGATTTAAACATATTTTGCATACCTTTTTTAGTTAACCCTTTGTTTGAAATTTAAATTGCATTTATGTTTAAATATGATTCTTACTTTTAAAAATGTTCTGTGTGCTTTAGTCAAAAATATACCTATAAATGTGCAGTATTTTTGTTACTGGTTGAAAATGTTCCAAAATACTGCCCCAATTAGATGACATTTAAGTGTTGCTAATTGTTAATTGCTGTCAGCATATCCTAAGACTGTCTTTAATGAGAGACTTAAGGGACTTGAGAAATTCTGTTTAGACAGGTGTAGTTTAAATGTGAATTCTAAAACTATGAAAAGGTTTGCAACTGCTAGAAATTGCTGTCCTGGTGTAGTCACTTGTCTGCAGGTACATATTTGCAGGACTGATGGCTGAGCCAAGCAAATATTGCACATTTCAAGCCCAAATGAATGCAGTGGTGGTTTTGTTTTCAAGAGGTAGTTGATATATATCAACTGTTTTATTTTCTTATGACTTGCAGGAAGACTTCAAAAATTAATGGCATTGAGTACGTACCTTTTATGAGTGTTGATCTGAGGGAACGTTTTGCCTTCCCTATGCCATTTTCGTAAGTGTCGTTTAATTGCTAAACTTTTGTTTTTATTTCCATAGCTTTCCTATATTTGGTAATTAAGTGTTTTCTTTTTCAGAGTTTTTAAAATTAAGTAGACTTCATTTACGAGCAACAGTACTATGTTAAGATTACAGATCCATAATAGACAAAGACACCTGGGGCTTGTTTGGGTGTGAATTTCTTGTTTTGTTTTTTTTTTTCCTGCTAAAGGCTTGTCAGTCAGACAAACCTCTATTTTCAGAACTACAGAAACTTGATTGTTAGTTCCTTGTTTTGAAATACAGCATTTGAGTTTCTGCTGGTGTAGATAGCTTTTCAGAATTTGTTTTTGCTGTTCAGTCCTGTATGAAGGAAGCTTTTTGTGTTTTATTTCATATTTTTAGTATTTTTGCTTGTCCCCCAAGAATTAGTGTTGCAAACTTATCGGTGGTGTTTTCTGAAGTTGTTTTACAGCAGTTTATACAAAGATGTGTAATTGCTTAGCACTGTTTTACACCAGTATAAGATTGAGTATACCACAAAAAGGTTTTCTAAACTGCTATTGATTAATTTCTTTTTTCTCTCTTAAATCTAGTGATAAATGTGGGAAGTTACCATTATCCCCTAAACAGAAAGCAATGTTTGCCAAGTGGATGCGACCGGATGACATAACCAATAATCCTACGATGATTTATACTGTGTCCAGTTTCAGCATAAAGCAGGTAAATTGCTCCTAGAGAGACATGTGCGCAGCTAGCAGTTTATTGCCGGGTATATAAGAACTCCCCACATGTGAGTGCTTCCCTTGGCTCTCTGGTGGTTAATGATTAATTGGTATCACTGCAGATTCCATGTAGAACAAACAGGTGTGTGAGCAGTGGAAGTGCCTCACACTGACCAAGCCCCCTTCCAGTAGTCTCCTCCTTTCATAGAAGTAACTTGACTTCTCTGGGTTCAAATCCTTTCCCTTTAGAAGGCAATTGCTGAATGATGATTTTCCTTCCTGCAACACACCCTGTTTGTCTTTCAGTATCTAAATTATTACAGAATCACAGAATCTCTTTGGTTGGAAAAGATCTTTGAGGTCATCAAGTCCAACCATTAAGCCAACATTGCCAGGTCGCCACCAACCCATATGGTATGTGTCCTCACTGTTTCTCTTTTCTTTATAGACAATAGTGTCAGATTGCTCTTTTGTGGCATCACTAGCTATCAGTGCAGCGTATGAAAGAAGATATAACAAAAAACTAATCACGAGGTAAGGAGCTGTTGCTTTCTGAGGTATTTTCAAACTCAATACTGCCAAGCTTTTGCAATAGGTTCCATGACAGTTATACTCAGTAAGAATATAGTATTTGTATTGTTTTTTTGGGACTCAAGTGGCTGTAGCCCTTCTGAGAGGGAAGCCAGCTTTATGTAGATGTGTATACAGACACTGGAGTCTAACCTGGGGAGAAAATAGTTTGGAATCTTTTTTTCAGTCTTTAACAGAAATTTTATTTAAAATACCTTTTAGGTTTGTTTTTCTGCTATGTTATGCCAATTGCTGTGCAACAGGTAGTCTGTCTTGCATCTCACTGGAGAATTAATGTCATGGCACTGTCTCAATTCCACTTGACTGGTGCCCTGTGATAAAATTGCTGCAGATGGCAGACTCTGCTGGGAACGTGCTGCTGGATGAGTGTGGGAATGTTGTTACTGGATTTTTTGGTTTTAATCTATACTTGTTAGAAATGAACTTGTATTCTTCTGAAGAGCAACAAGTTCTGCACTGTCTTCTTCAAATGTTTGACTTTTTGTTCAGGCAAATACTGTATTTATACAGCGCATATGTAAATAGGGCTTATTAGTGAGATAAATTTGTTTGCCTTGCTTCTGTTAGAGAAACAGTTAGGTTGCTTGTGTTCTTTCTGTTACTAAATTAAGCAGAAAACTTAAGCAAGAGCCAGGCCTGAGAAATAAAACCTACTTAAACATCACTGTCATTTTTATTAAATTTGAGTTGTTCTTTTATTAAAAATTGCATATTTAAGCTCACTGTAAATTTCAGAAACAGACTGTGTTAATCCTACTTATTTTTGCAATTTCCTGGAGGAAAATTGCTTGTGTTTTTTTTTTTTCTTTCAACAGTATTATTTACCCTCAAAATAAGAAAGGGGAACCAGAATATAATCCATGTGGCAAATACATGGTGAAACTTCATATCAATGGTGTGCCTAGAAAGGTAAGTGGTTTGGGGGAGATTTAGTACTGTTTCTGTTTAAATCATATATTTTGAAGGCTTAGTGTGCTTTACTGTGAAGCTATGTTTGTGTAGCAAAAAATTTGGTTATGTTTTGTCGAAAAGTGAGTTTTAAACTTGAGATTCATTTTGAGTGTGAAGTATGTACCAAAATGTGTTTGCTTTATGACCATTCTTCATTTATTTCACACAGGTAATCATAGATGACCAGTTACCTGTTGATCATAGTGGGGAACTTCTTTGCTCTTATTCTAACAATAAGAATGAACTATGGGTATCGCTAATAGAAAAAGCTTACATGAAGGTCATGGGAGGATATGATTTTCCTGGATCGAATTCTGTAAGTACTAGATTATTTTAGAGGCCAAAAATTCTGCTTACATAACCTTGGATCAAATAACTTTACTCCTAGTGACACAAATTAATTGCCTGGGGAGGCAAGTATTTGGTTTGACATTTTAAAAATTCTTTCACAGATATACTTAGTGGTACTTGATTAGTAGTATCAGATTGTTCCACTCATTTGCATGAATGTGTGATGGGTTCCTGTAATGCTGTTACTAAAGAAATGGACATTGCACTGCACCTAGGCTGAGATGCAAATGATTCTTTTAAAGAGGACTGGCTTACTGCAATGAGTAGCCTGCATAATCACGTGCTACTGAAGAAGCATTTCTGATTTGAATTTAAAATTCTTAAAGATAAAACCAGTTTGACTTGTGACATTGAATCTCTGCCCTTCCTGCCCCTGTGTCACAGCTGCCTGTGATGATCAGGGTCAGGTTCTGGCTGTGGAGTAACCCCTCAAGTTCCCACCCGTTGGGGCTGGGTACGGACACTTCAATGTTCACAGTCTCTGGTTTTGCTTTGAGAAGTACAAAGCAAAGAAAAGGGAAGGAGCAATATTTGAAGGAGATAGAATGGAGAGATTAAAGCATCTTTTTATGGAAATATGTATCAGTGACAGCTTTATCAAAAAGACTTTAAACCTCCCAAACCCTGAGCCTTAGATGTAAAACTTAAATTATTTAAAATGCATATATAATAGCAAGGTTCCAGACAGTGTGTCTGAGGCTGTGCTTTGAAAGTCTGTGAATCAACAAAATAAATAGAACACATCATAGAATTGAGCACGACTGTCTTATGCTTCTACTGCTCAGAAATTCCAGTTTGTTTCACCAGTTCACTTTCCAGCTTTTTTGTTTTGCTTAGTTAAAACCGATTTGGAAATGTTGTCCTCAACTACTAAGTTTTTGTACTTTTTAAAAAAAATAATTTTCTATAGTGTAACTTTTTATATACTTAAATTCTTTTAAGGTACTTTTGTTTTTTGTGTACAGCTATCATATGCCTGCATATGGGTTATATGTTCTGATTTCTTTTGTATACTTGCATTTCAGAATATTGATCTTCATGCGCTGACTGGCTGGATACCTGAAAGAATTGCTATGCACTCTGACAATCAAGCTTTCAATAAAGACAGTACTTTCAGGATGCTCTATCAGAGGTAAGCTTTGTTCTTTTCTGAAATAATAAAAACACTTGCAGTCTAGTTGCTGTGTTACTGTAAAAGCAGTGCAGTCACCACAGATCCTTTGATAGCATTTTAGTACTCCTACAAATTGTGCTTCACAAAACCTCTATATGCTTTCTGAAAGAAAAAGAATTAAAGTTTGAGTATTGGATTTAACAGAACAGAAGAGTTAAAATATTGTGGAGTTTTTAGGTAATTCTTCTTATTTACATGTGAAGAAAAAGAAACAGCAGCCCTTCTTTAAAAAGTAGTTTAAAAAGTAGAAGGAAATGTGCTCTGTGTTCCCACACAGTTCCCCAGAGCCCTGACTGATCCTTAGCGAGCAGATGTAGTACAGCATTTTTAATCATGTCACGAGATCTTGGTTCTTATGCCCCATTAGTAAATCTACTGGAGGAGCAGCAAAAGTCTGTCAAAACTACAGTAGTTATCTTCGGACTCACCATAACAATTCCACTTATGGTGAAAATTATAGCTGTAATTCATGAATGTCAGCTAGCAAGTAGTTTGATTTCTTTTGAAATGATTTTACGCATTTCTGCTGTGCTGCAATGTGTAAGAAGGGGGAGTAGTCTGACTGAAACATCTGCCTTCATGGTAAAGAGTCTCTCTGCAGTGCTTCTGCAGTTAGGTGGGAGCGCTGAGATGGTTGTCAACAGCTTTTCAGATATTCTGACATTGCAGTTTGTAGGTGTGACTGCAGTTAGGATGGGATCTAGCTGTAAGGGCATCACTATTCTTCACCTGTGCTGGGCTGAAAATGTGTTGATGTGTAGTGCAGTGACCCTGCAAGCCGTGTAATGATGCTGAATGCACACTGGGATTTTAGCTAAGATGACAGTTCAGACCTTGTAAAGTCTATTCTAGGGGACACAGAACTTTTAGTGTAAGCATCTGCAAAAATATAGAAGTGTGAACTTCTTGTTCTTAAGGATTTTGGAACCTCGTTAAGAATCCTGGGGTATGACAGAGATGTTCATTTGCTACATGAAGTAATTGGCAAAGTGGTGATGAAACCACATGTGTGTTCAGCTGAAGATCCATGAAGAGAATCCTTAAAAAGTGAGATAGATTGAACTTCAGGTTGATAAATTATTTTTATTTATAAAAAAAAGATGAAAATACATGGAAATAACCATTTTTCACTAAAGACCTCTACTTAAATGCTAAAAGAAAATAATTCTGCTTTTTCAGGAGTGATTTCTGCTGACCATAAACTCCATATTCCAATTTTTAGAAAGCAGGGTCGTGCTAACAGTGTAAAATCATACTGTTAGAGTGTGGCAAATGTTAGTTTGCAGCATGTAAGATTTTAAGTGAGCTATTTTTCATACTTTTTTTTTAACAGATTTCACAAGGGAGATGTTCTTATCACAACAGCAACAGGGATGATGTCTGAAGAGGAAGGAGAAAAATGGGGTTTAGTTCCAACCCATGCATATGCTGTCTTGGATATAAGAGAATATAAGGTATCTTAAATAAAACCGAAGATGTTTTCAGATGCCTGTTTAGCTACCCACAGCAGAGAAATTTCAGTGATTTCTTACTCTAACAGCTTCTTTAGTTGATTTTGTCTTGAGGTCTTCTGGAAAATTATAGAAAGCTTAATGATGCTCTATTCTCTAGAGTTATTGGTCCATATTAATGTTAATATAAATATAAAAATTGTCTTGAATGAATCTGGCAATTTTATTTTGTAATTCTTCAGGGACTTCGATTTCTTCAGTTGAAAAATCCCTGGAGCCACTTACGTTGGAAAGGACGATACAGTGAAAATGACACAAGAAACTGGACCCTGGATTTACAGAAATATTTGAACTTTGATCCAAGAACAGCTCAGAAAATAGACAATGGTAATGAAGTTTAAAAAGTTAGTCTTTTCAGATAAAACATTGTTGTGGCATATCCCTGCAGGAAGGTGGAAAGAAGTGTTTAATGATGAGAAGAGAGAGTAAAACAAATACTAGAAACTAAATAGCCTGAAAGTTTAGGAAGTATTTGTGTATTTAAATCTATCATTTCGGGTTTGTTTGGGGCTGAAGTGATCTGGACTGTTAAATATACCTCAAATTGACTGATAAGAAATTACCTCCTTGCTTAAGTGTTGCTGTTGCACTATCTGGATGTGGGGGCATTCAGTGCAGAGGTAACATTCTGACCATAAGCTGCTTAACACTGCTTTTTCATACGTAAATAGACTTTTTGCAGGGGAGAGTTTCCTCCCAAATTTGCAAATAGATATCAACATGCTTACTGTAATCCTATTTAAATTAGTTTTACCTATTTGAGGTTATGTGCTGGAGATCGGTGTTTTTGTTTTTGTTGGGTTTTGTGTGTGTTTCTCCCCCTCCCCTTGCATTATGTATCTCTGAGTAAATCTTTACATACACTCTGTTTTGGGCTGTAAGAATAGAAGCAGAAGCACTGCTGTCACTGTCCCAAGAAGTCCCTTGGAATGGTGCTGGTGTGGTTGGTGCCCTGGTCCCTAGGGAGCAGCAGAGCACTGGAAACTTGACTGGGTTTGCTGCAGAAAGGGCAGGTTGCTGAAGGCTTAGGAATTCTGCAGAAGCTGCTTTTCACATTTGGAAAGAGAAATCTACTCTTCTTGCAGCATCCTGGCTGCTGTCTGTGTCTCTCTGAAGGGGCTTGTGTTCAGTGCCGCTTGGTTTTGACAACAGGATGTGTCCAAACCTGTTAAATTACAGCATTATTGATAAGCCTTGTGAAAATGCATAAGGAAAAATTTGATTTAAGAATAGTAGCTCTGACTTTGTGACAATTATGAGACTAGCTCATTATTTATCAATTCATTTATTAAAGAATTTTTATCTGTAACATCTAGTAGTTAAAATCGATATCAATTGTGTAAGTAATTTTAAGGGAGCTGTTTTTTCTGATTGGATTTAGTCTTGCCTAAGTATGTAGCTATTATTATAGAATCATAGAATGGCCTAGGCTGGAAGGGACCTTAGAGATCATCTAATCCAACCTCTGTGCCATGGGCAGGGACACCTCTCAGCTAGACCAGGTTACTCAAGACCTCATCCAAAATGGCTTTTATTTTTTTTATTATTGCTGTGAAAAATGCAATGGCCTATGTCAGAGACTTGTATATAATATTGTGACCTTTTGGAGAGTTTATTTCATCAGGAATCTGTCAGCTTGCTTGCAGGCATTGTTGGCTGGAGTTGCAATTAAGGAAGTTATGGAAAATTAAAATAGATGCACAAGGATATTGTAAAGATTAAGCAGATTCAGTTTGGCAAAGCAATTCCTGTGGGTGGGGAATGAAATATCGTAACAATACATTCAGACTTGTTGATTGAATGCTTGGTTGAGCTGGATCACAACTGAAGGAAGTTTTTGAACTGGGAATATGTTTTTCAGATACCCAGGGGAGAGGAAGGCAGGTCGGAATCACCTAATAATGTCTCTCTCATTACAGCAAATTCTCTCATACCTTCTGCTTAGTGCTTGAGAAGGAAAAGTGTTCCAACAGCTTTACAAAGTCCTTGATGATAAGCAGAGACTAACTTGTTTTTCTTGGTTTAACTTGTTTGGTTTGGGAGTTAAGTTTTAAGAAGTTTGGGTAATGCAGATGTTTCTATGTTTTACAGAAATAGGGGTTTATAGAAGCTATATCATTTGTCTGGAAAGAGACTTTTGAAAAACAAGTAAAATCAAGGTGTCTGGCATTTCCTTTTTAGGCATTTTCTGGATTGCTTGGGAGGACCTGTGCCAGTACTATGATGTTATTTATTTGAGTTGGAACCCAAGTCTTTTTAAAGAATCTACATGTATTCACAGGTTGGTCTAAAAGAGAAAAGTTTTGTGTTGAGAACTCGCAAAATGTTCTGAAGTGGTGTTTCCTTCTGTCCATTCTTTCTAGGTACAGCTTAAGAGGTTGAACTCCAACTGTGCTTGTCTGAGCCTGACTTTACACTATTAAATTCTCAGCCTAGACTCTGGTTTTTGACCACTTCTGTAACATTGTTGAAACTGCATCAACCTTTGTGATGTTTTTGAGAGGCTGTGTATGTAACCAGATCCTGAACTCAGTCCCACATCTCTGTTGGAATAGAAATCAGATTTTTGTCTGTCTCCAAGCAGTGATCAGACAGTGCTTAAATGACCTAGTGTCTATTTGGAACTTATTTTCTAGGCCAGTTACAAGTCATTTGTGCAGTGCATGTTGTCTCGACAGGATGTGTCCAGTGATGTTAGCTTTAACTAATTCTAATTTTAAGCAGTTGTAGTTACCATAAATCTTCTTTACCTGCTGATTTTCTTCTGAATATGATACCTGTCTCCTACCTTGTATGTATTACATTCAGTCTTTTTGTCACCCAGTTTGAGGATTAATGTGTGTGTCTGTTTCAGAAAGCAAGGGTTTCTCTATTTTTCCCCTCTACTATACAGCACTCTGCCACTGCTTCTGTGATGTTTCTGTGTGTGTCAGCTCAGCACAAGCTCCTTCACCCACAGTGCAACTGCTAAGCTTATCTGTAAAAGCTCAGTCCATCTTTATACTCTAAATGATTGCCAAACACATTACCTCATCTTGCTACATCACCAGAGTGTATATGTTAATCTCAAAGCTCATCTACTAGTTTGCCTTTACTTGTATTACTAGTGATTGTGGTACCTCTGTGTGGGAACATGCTTCTTGTGTTTTCATACCTTGTTTTCTTTGCCTAGACAGTTCATGAGGCAGCAGGCAGAGTTTGTAATAGGGTACCTCAAAGTTCATGCAGGTACCCTTCCAAACATAAGAGATGAAACATTCAAAGAAAAATTTGAATAAAAAACTGGAGGGGAAAAAATTGACAAGCTTTTAGAACTCACTGTAGCTTATGTGTGGAATCTAAGACTTACAGAAGCGTAGGTGTTTTTTGCTTAGTAATTAATGTGGTGTGTGCAATCACTGCAAGAATTGGCTAGCTCAGGCTCCCCGAATGGCTCACCTTTTCCTGTGCTTTGTGTGGTTGCAGTCACTATATCGAACAGCCAGTATTCTTGTAGGTAGCATTTGTATTATCACACTGGTGTACATAAAACAATTGTAAGGTAATGGTTTTGGCACTAATGTATGATGTAACCACTGTTGTGAATTCCAGTTGACAGACAACTAGCCTTCAGTAGCTTTGGTAATGAAACTCTGTGTGTGTATGTAGGACTTGGAGTTGGTTTTCAAAGTGAAAATAGTATTTTGCTCATCTTAAGGATGTCTGTGTAATTTGCAGCACGTGGGATGCGAAGCAAGGCCCGATGAAGGATGCCTACAGCCTGGCAAACAACCCTCAGTACAAGCTGGAGGTGCAGTGCCCGCAGGGTGGAGCTGCTGTCTGGGTCCTGCTTAGCAGACACATCACTGACAAGGTGCTGCCTTCGATTTCTTACCTCTTCTGTGTCCTCTGTAAATCTTGTTATATTGCTTTCTGTGTTACTGGCATATTGCTACTTGTATTTTTCATGTTCAGGTACATATACTATAAATTCTGCAGGTACACATTAGTATGAGATTGTTGGAATAAACAAAAATTAGTGGCATTTTGTTTACTGTAGGTATTTTTTTTTTTTAAGAATTACGTCAGCTATTTTTAGTAAACACAAATACCAGTTTGTACCATGTGGCAATCGAAGGAGATGGTAGAGAAAGCGTACTTGACTCTGCTCAGGCATTAGTTACATTCCACAGAAGTGTACAACTCATTTTGTGTTTTTTATAGGATGACTTTGCACACAATCGGGAATTCATTACAATGGTTGTATACAAGACTGATGGCAAAAAGGTTTACTATCCAGGTTAGTGTTACCTTTTGTTGAGAAGGTGATATTATAAATAAAGAAAGAATTGCAGGGGATTTTCTGGACACTAAAGGCATGTTTTGCTTTAAAACTAGTAGTTAATTCTTAGAGGGGTCTGGAGGTGTGTTTCTGTTTATCTGATAGCATAATTTCTCAGATTTGTGAAATTATTTAAAGGCTTATGGCTTTCCATAAATGGAAATAATACAGGTTAATTGTTCTATGAACTTGGCTTAAGGAAACTACCTAAGCAAGCTCATGAGATGCAGCTGAACTCTTCAACATAGTGCCAAGTATCAGATGTGGAATGCTTAAGAAAAATATAATTAAGTATTACTCTCAGCCATTATAGGTCAGATTCTACTACCTTTGAGAAGAAGGGTCTTGGCTTTTGGAGCTGCTGTTGTAGCTGTGAAAAAAACATATGTCTTATTTCAAGACAGACAGCATAGCTGAAACACAGGTTAAAACACAAGGTAAAGCCTCAAGGCAGAGCTAATAATACTGTATTTATTATTTAGATGATGTTAAATATATATGTCTCAAAATATTCCTTGGAATAAATCAGTGAAAATGTATCCCAAAACAGGTAGGATTTGGCCTGTTGCTTTTACAGCTAAGGGATGTCTTCAAAAGCAAGATTGTGTAGCTGGTCATGTGACAGGTAATAGTAACAGTTTTAATTAGGGACTAGCTTTAATTGGAGAGTAGCTTTTAAAGCTCTTTTCACCACAGAGTGGAACTAGTGGGTGTTTTCCTATTGGGATGGCTGGTGAGGGCTACGTTGTTCATCTCTGTTCTTCAGTCAATTCTGCTGATGGGTTGCCCTGGAAGCCAGACTGTCCTTGCATGCAAAGCATCTGTTCAGACTTGACCAAATCACTGTGGTTTTGCAAGAGCTGATCTTGTTACAGCATCTGCTTCTCCTCACAGCCCAAGATGCGCTGCTGGTGCTTGTAGCAGTGCTTATTTTACAAGCATGTCTTGCTGAAAGCATTCCTAAGTGGTCAAACATGTTTGTGTAGTGGAAGGAATTGTTCAGCTGTGGGCTGAAAGAGGTGGTCTTCCAGCAAGAGCAAGAACTGGATGATTCATGTTTTGTCTCACTACCCAAACTCTTTTATAAACTTTTTAATCTCATAAACTCAAACTTGTTTAAAATCTTTTTCTGTGGAAATAGATTGGTCAAGCTGCAGTATTGTTTTTACCATCTGTTCAAATGAAATCAGAACAAAGCAGGTTAATCCTTTGGGAGTGAAGCTAAGCTTTTGCATTCCTAAGCTTCTCATTGTTTTATATAAATCTTTTCCCCTCTCCCACATTGCTTTGTGGATGAAAATAAAAGGACCTGATCCTGGGCCTATTGAAATAATTGGCCAGACTTGTTTCTGCTTTACTGAAATCAGAAGAAGTCTGGAAAGAACCTGTTAGAAGCCACATAACAAATGACATTGACCAACTGTAATATTTGGGATGTTTGTAATAAATACTGCACGTAATAAGTACTGAGCTTCAACTACATCTGTGTAACAATCGTGAGGATTTTGAGAGAGAAAGCATGTGTGATTTAGTTAAAGAAATTAATGTCTTGTTTACCTGCCATCCAAAGATGTTGGCAGCTTGTGTTCTGGAACTGCCCAGCCAATGGAGAAGGAAAAAACCCCTCAGATTTTTTTTAAAAAGCTCTCAAGCATTCCTTATCTTTCTCTTGAAAGTTCAGCAGAATCCCAGTAGGGCTTTGAGTATTGAAATTGGTGGGAGATGGATAAGCAGTTCTGGAAAGTCATGGGGTTTAAGCTTTACTTTTAAATGGAGAACTAGTGTCCTGTCATGTGGTGTACATCTGCTGAAAATAATTGCTGTTAAGATTTTTGTTCCTTCTTATGAGCAAATCTTCAGGCTGCACTCTTTTGAGAGCGCTCAGGTCTGCTTATGGTTTGACCTTTGTACCAACAGTCTGCCTTCCCTGGCAAAATTCATGGATATAAAATGGCTCAGTTGTTTCAAGCTGTGGGACTTTCTGATTGTGTTCATCCCTTTCTTTTTCAGCTGATCCTCCTCCGTACATTGATGGGATCCGGATCAACAGTCCTCACTACCTGACCAAGATAAAGCTGACCTCTCCAGGGCTGCATACATTTACCTTAGTGGTGTCCCAGTACGAGAAACAAAACACAATCCATTACACCATCAGGGTACGTGCTGCTGTTTCATAATGAATGTGAATAAACAATGAAATATCCTTTATTTGTAAGTTTGATATGAAAGTGTACTTTGAGATGGATATTACTGTTTTGGGGAGGGAGGCTAGGAATGATGGAGCAGAACCACTGATGAAACGTTTGTTTTCTATTTGTAGTTGTTAAACTAGAGTGTGTGCATTTTTAGTAATGAAATCAGGTGAAAAATACTTCTGTTTCCTAGAATAAAAATACTTATATAAGTGTACAGGCAGAGCATTGACTCTCTGTATAAAAAAAAAAAAGCCTATTTTAGATTCCAGTTAAGATTTCAAGTTATTTGACTTCTTGGAGTCCTTGGACTCAATGTTTGTGTTTTTCTGGAACTGCTGAGTCTCATGATGATGGATGCTAGATGTCTCACTTTGTCATTGAAAAACTAAATTGCAGATTGATTCTGGATTTTGAGTTTCAGACAGTGTTTTCCAAGTAATACTCATGCAGTGAACAAGGATCTAAAAAATGTTGTGCAGGCAATTTGGCTTTTATTAACACATCCCGATTTCATATGAGCATGCAAGATGAGTGTGTGACCAAGCTGCTTCTTTTACAACACAGGTGTATTCCTTGTGCAAGTTCACCTTCTCCAAGATTCCTACACCGTACACAATTTCCAAACGGGTAAATAAATAGTTTTTATGAGTCACTGATGATATTTTGGGTTTGTTTGTCTGTTATTTGAAATGTGCAAATCTTTAAAATATTTGGGTTTGGGTTGGGTGGTTTTTTTCATACTATTGCCCAAAAAGGCCAGCTTAGGCCATCTTCTAGCAAGTGAAGCTTCTTAACTAAAGGTTAATCTAACATCACCAGTGCAAGACCATTCCTATACTAAAGATACATATAATTTGGCAAGCAGTTAGCTGCCATGTCAGCTTAATTCCTACCAGCATGAAGCCCTTGGGCTGGCTCTCTGGGTGGTGGATTGGCTTTTACTGAAGTGTGACGGTGTGGTTGTGCCACTGCAGCTCTCCTGTAAAGCCTCTGTAGAACAGACTGGCCTTTACAATAACAACCTGTACCCTGATGTGTAATTACTCTGCAGAGATCAGATTGTGCTAGTACTACTGCAGAGTAAATACCTGAAAGAGCATTTGCTTGTTTTCCCCCTGAGAGAATCTCATGATTTTTCTTGGAAAAACCCTTGGCATGGTAGAGTTAAATCAGCAATGGCAAACCGAAGGCACTGGTAGCAAGATCCTGAAGGACTTAGGATGGCAATATCACAATATGTTACTGTTTGCAAATGTTGCAGAGACATCTTACAGATCTGTAGCCACTGAAATAAGCACTTATGCTGCCAGACAGGATCAATATTTCATGTGGAAATGTTCGCTGAGGGTTCACCAGCAGGAACAGGAGCAAAAAACTTGACTGAAATTAATTCAGCCCAGCTCTGGAGCTCAGGCAGTGCTTTGGTTTTGTAGTGGCTGTTACTTCTGAACAGCCCCTTGACTCTTGCCTGTTGTGGAGAATGGAAAGTGGCTAGAGAGATTCCTGGGAGCACAGACACAATTTCCTTGGTTCTTACAGAAACTATTGTCTTCTTTAGCTCTTAAACTGAGTTTACTTTGGGGAAAAATGCTTTCAGAGGTCAAAATCTTATGAAAGGTGTCCAGTCTGCTTGAGGCAGGACATCTGTATTATGTTGTATTATGTTGCAGAAGAAAATTAAATATGTGGAAACCTCATGTCAAGTATTTGAAGATGTCTGTCAAGTATTAAAATAAGAGACATGTGCTAGGTATCCAAGGATTTATAGATATTTATATTATATCTCCTTGGATAACTAAATAATAGATCATATATTGCATCATGTGTGACATGCATCGTGTGTATCTCCTTGGATAGCTATAACATTCTATTTGAATTATGATACATAGTATATAGTATATTATGTAGTGTATATTATTGTTTAATACATAGTCATATACAGTATATGTATTAATATATCAATATGTTTATATCTCATTGTTTATGTATTATATCTAATATATAATATTATTTTATATGTAATCCCTCTTGTTTCAAGACTTGCCATGTTTGAGTGTTTTGGACATTGAGTAAAAAATTTTGTGGCAAGAAAAAAAGTTGCTCCTTGCTGATTTGACAGAAAGGGGAGGGAAGTAACAGGGGAAAGGGATCTTAGCTATAAATCTGTGAAGGCCTGATGTGCATTACGAGTCTAACCTCAGCTTAATGACTAGCAGGAAGAGCTCACCAACAGCCTGTTTCTCAAAGTCAGAGGAGCATTTTTCCTCTCGTATGCACTTGTTCTTGCAGAATCTGTCTGTATGGATGTTTTTGTGCCTGTCATGCTGGTTCTGAGCACACAGAGGCGAATGGACAGGGCTGGAGGCGATGATTGCAGAAGCAAAGGTTACGACACAAGTAATGTTGTACTGCCCATACCGCTGGTGTGTCTCTTACACAACAGAGGAGTGTCTGAGCAAAAAGAGTAACTTTCATAATCCAGTAGTTGTGGGATAGGTGGGAATATAGATCCTTTGTTGGATACATGTTTTCAGAAACAGTCACTTGTTACTTACTTAGTATAAGCTAAAAAAACACAGTATACTTCTAAGGGATCTAAGGCTTTGATTGAGGTGGGTGCAGGACTGCAGTGAGCTTTCTGAATACTTAGAGTCTTTTACTTGGATTACTTAGAGATTACTAAAGTCAGTGACCTCTAATGTGAGATGAGCCTCTAGTCTTATTAGTATGTGTAAATAAGCAATACAAATCCTCAGGATAAAGTATTTTCTGTACTTTTGTCTTGTCAGGTTAATGGACAGTGGAAAGGTCACAGTGCTGGAGGATGTGGAAATTTCAGAGATACCTACAAAAATAATCCCATTTATCAGTTCCAGATAGACAAGAATGGACCGTTACTAATTGAACTACGGGGACCGAGGTTTGTAAAGACTTAAGTGTGCACCAGCATGGTGAGAGTGTGATGTGCTAAGAACAAGCTTTGTCTTGCTCCTCTGTGGGGAGGGTGGGAAGCTCCCTGACAATCTAGAAGACAAGGAAAGGAAGGTGGCTTGGGTTTAGGGTGATTTATATTGTAAACTTCACCATTACTTGTTGGAATGACCGGGTCAGGGGTGCCAGTCACATGCGTTAACAGGTAATAGACAGATGGTCCCAAGTTCTAGTGCAGCTTTTACATGTTTTTCAGTTAGACTGTGTAATTTTTAATAAATAAGCCCTCTTTGGGGTAATTCCCATGACCCAGATCACTAAAGTAACAGTTGGTCATGTCCCTTGCAGGCAATACAGTGTTGGTTTTGAACTCATCACTGTCTCGACAGTTGGAGATCCTGGTTCCAATGGCTTCCAGAAAAAGAGCAGTGGAGACTACAGGTAATACTTAATAAAGTCTGAGACATTTGAAACGCACTTCACGCTTTGGTTCTAACAGATGGTTTCTTGTATTATAGGTGTGGATTTTGCTACTTGGAAGTGGAAAACATATTTGCTGGAATTTACAACATCATCCCCACCACATTCCTGCCTCAACAAGAGGGTCCTTTTTTCTTAGATTTTAACAGTACTATTCCTCTTAAGGTGTCACAGCTGCAGTGAGGAGACAGATCTGTGTGTTACTGTTTTAAGGAAGTGGCTTTCATCTGTCTAGGCATTCTTATTGCACATATGTGTGACAGAATTATCTTCTCAGTTATAGCCAAAGGCATGGACTGACTGGCCAGATAATGGTGGCAGACAGTTGGCTGCGTTTTCGCTGCTGTGGCATTAGTGTGAGCATTGTTCCACCAGCTTCGGAACAGCTAAAATACTTACCTTCAAATGAACTGTCAGAACTCAACTTACTGCAATTTTTCCACACTTCAAATCAAAGTGTAGCAAGTAAGGAAAAAAGCTAACACTGAAGTTATCTCCTGCTAAAATACAGGGTTATATGGGTTTAAGATTTTATTCTTAGAAGTAAACAAGTAAGAAAAAAATATTCTCATGTATTCTGCTTTTTCAGTCTCAGGAGCAAAAAGCTTTTACCACATCTTTATTCCATCTGTGCCACAAGTCTGGGACATTCTTCCTGATGCAAGTCCCATGTAAGTGTGTTGTACAGTAATTGTGCATGTGACTGCACACTCCATGCTGTGTTTGAGCAGCCAGCTGTTTAGAGTTGTGGGCAGATGGGGAGAGGTTTTCATCACTTCCAGGCAGTAAGGAGCGTAAATTAAATTGATAATACCAAAGAGAAGTAGAATGCCTAGGTTAACATTTGCTTTATACATTCTCAGTTTAGGGTAGCTGAAATGATCACATACACTTTGATACACCAGAGGCTTATTTTTATATCCATGAAGGCAGCTGCCATCACCTTCCTCTTGAAAGAGGACAAAGCGCTCCATCAGTTGCCTGCACCCCATCGTGATGTCAGTTCAGTTTGTCACATTTGTAATTAAGCCTTTTATGAATTTTACAATAAAAAATAACAGAAAACTTGCAATTAGACCTGCAGTCCTGTGTGTTTGCTTGCACAGTTGGAGGGGTCACTCCCCCCCACCATGGAACAAAGATAGCTGGGAGATCTTCCAACAAATTGTGCCAAAGCGGGGGCTGAACCTAAGGACGAGGAAGGTTTCACTGTCCCTGCACGGGCTGACACAGGGTTGTGCCTGGCTGCGCAACAGAACTGGTGCTTATATTGCAGGGACAGAGCCTGGACTGCCAGTCGCAGCTGGCAG